CTGCGCTCCAAACACCCGACGCGCGAAAGGAACACGCCGGCGGCCCCTGCAGCTCGTCCTGCGAGCAGGCCCGACGGGCTCCTAGGCGAGCGGTGGATGGATTCAAAGTAGCTTTTAACCCCAAGGAAATCGGCCCTTGCGGGCACTTGCACAACAGCGAAGCCCACGTGACCCGGGGGGGATGTGGCGGAGGCGAGCGGGCGACGTTTCCTACGAGGTGCGGCCGAGGAGGGGACGCGCGTGCCGCTCGCCGGGGTTTCGGTCGGCGGCCTGTTTCGTCGTCTCCGAGGCTTTGGGGGAAAGTTTGGCCGCGTCCAGAGCAGACGCTGGGAAACATCCATCTTCTTTTGTTTGAAAAGTGACTCGTTCAAGTTGTCACCGAGTGACAGCTCAGAATAAAGCTCATTTACGGCCGCGCCTCCTCTCGTCCCGAGGATTTTTGGAGGCGGCGAGGCCGGCGCGGGGCTCCTTTGGGCGGGGCCCCAGGGACTCCCCGCATTCCCGCGCGCGAGCTCGGCGCTGGGCAGCAGCGGGGCGCAAAAGATGGAACCTTGCGGAGGACACTGGTTTTCGGGATAAAGACCCGATGGGAAGAAAAATCGGGCCCGAGGGATGTAAAGGGATGAACACTTGGGGGAGGGGGGCGCCCGGCGCATTCCTGGAGGCGGGCTTTGCACCGCGATCCTTGTGCCGGATCGTCGGTGTCCCCCGGCGAGTGCGCCAGGATCTCTGTGACCAGCTCTCCACGCCCGGTGCCGGTTCGGCTCTGCAGAACCCCCTGGACGGTCTCAGTTCCCCGGAGCCGGGAAGACGGACGCGCGGAACCCGGGTCGGCCCACGCGGCGGCGGCGCACACACTGGGGCGTGGCCTGGGCGTGGCCGAGGGGAGGGCCACGCCCCTCTCTGCCGAGTCCCCACCACGGCCCGCTCCCATTGGTCAGGAGGCTGGCCAATGAGCGCTCAGATCGAGGTCCTACCCAGGGTCGGACTCGAAAGCTCCTGCCAAAACTTTGGGAGTTTTTAGAGAGGAGTTTTTTTTTTTCGTGTTTTTTTTTTTTTNCCGCGCCCACCCCTAGCGAGGGTCGCGTCTTATTCGGGGGGTAGGCGGCCTGCGGTGAGTCCCAAACGCATCGCTTAGAACCGTGGGTTTGGGCTTAGGCCGCGGTTGGAACGCGGGCAGGCAAATTGGAATCGCAACGGAATTGGAAGTGAGCCTGGAAAAGGGCGACCCACTCGCGCTCGTGACTTCCCCGAGGTCCGTGAAGCTGCAGAGGCCGCGCCCCCCCCCTCCCCGGAATCCTCAGTCTCTTTGCTCGCAACGCAGCGCCCCTGATGGGGTCTCTCCAGGAGGGTCCCCGGTCTCAGGTGGCCTTTTGCTCGTCACGGTTCCTCTGGCGAGAAACAGACGGGCTGGTGTTCCTGCGTCTCTCGCCCCAGGTGCGGGCGCCCTGGACCCCGCGCATCCCTCCCCTGCCGCGCTGGAAGCACCACCTCCGCCCCGGCTGCAAGGAGCAGAGCACGAAAGTCATTTAGTGAGAGAGACAGAGAGACGGGGGCCGGGGGTGTTCCCAGGGGTGGCTGGTCCCAACTGATGGATGACTTCCCAGGACAAAGTCGAAGCTTAAAAATGACAGCATTTGTAACACGGGGCTAGAAACCACTAGAAATTAATTTAATTCCCACCCACCCCCCACCCCCAAATCCTAAACTCGAGATACGCACAGCAAGTTCAGTCGCTTTCCTCGGTTTATTTGGTAGGAAGCCTTAGTGCTGAAATGAAATTAAAAAATGCCACAGAAGCTTTATTGCAACTGTATTGAAAGGTGTTTTGTTTGTTTGGTTTGCAAAAAAAGAAATGCCACAGAAGCACAGCTGCTCTGTTAAGAGATACTTATTAGTACAATCGAAAACAAAAGATTCTGTGGTTTCATTATTGTTATTATTTTATTTTCTTCCTGAAAATGGGCAAGACGAGCTCATCTGGGTGGCCTGTGGTTAGTTTGGGAGAGGGGTGGGGAAATCCATTCCGACTATAATTTAAAAGAGAACGAATTCTTAAAGATGTTGATGTTGCAGA